TCACTCCCCTGGAGAGCAGGGGAGAGACAGCAGGTGCTGAGAAGACATTCAGGTGTGACTCTTAAGACACAATGTTTAAAGTTTAAAAATCTCATATCTCAAAGGTATGTCAGTAGAGGGAACAGTATGTGAAACTCACAAATCTGTCATCTAACTTGGACAGTTGTCAACTGTGGACACCATGCGTCACCTACGGTATCTTCTCTCTGCAGCCCAGATGATTTTGAAATATCTCCCACCCATCCTATCACTTTGCCCATTAACATTTTTAAATTATTTATTTATTTGAGAGAGAGAGAGAGAGAGAGAGAGAGAGAGAGAGACTTGCAATCTACTGGTTCAGTCCCCAAATGCCCACAATGGCTAGGGGTGGGTCAGAGCTGAACCTGGAAACTGTGAACTTGGTCCAGGTCCCCGCTGTGGGTGGGAGGGGAGGGAACTCAGTTACTCAAGTCATGACTGCTGCCCTCCCCCTGCCCCCCAGGATCTACGTTAGCAGGAAGCTGGAGCCAGAAGCCGGAGTCCATATTGAACCCAGGCACTCCTAGTGATGATGCAGCCATCTGAGCTGGTGTTTTAACCCTTGGCCAAGTGCCGGCCACCCGTTATCATTTTATGAGGCCACCCCTGGAGGTGCCGTCCATCTTTGACCAAAATGCTGTAGAGTGCCTCACTGTATGTGTAGAACTACACAGGGGTTTCCACTTGGGTCCAAACAACGATTAATCACTGTGGATGGTGAAGCTACTACGACTCCACTAATAGAGCCCCTCTGGGAGGAGGTGGGAGAGGGAAAGGCGCGCAGGTCAGGGTTGCATTTCGTAAGCTGAGGCGGCTTTGGTTTCAAAGTGCAGGTGTCTCCGGCTGCCAAGCTCCAGGAGGTCAGGGCAGGAGGCGGTGTGTCCGCAGCCTCGGTTCTGCTTGGCAGACGTCTGGGATGTGAATGTCTCTTCATCAGAGACCAGAGCGGGGGCGGAGCCAGAGCACGGGCCTTCTGCTGACAAGGGGCTGGTGCAAGCAGGGGATCAATATCACAGACGATGTTGTTACAGTCAAGAAACTGCCAGGGGCGAGGGTGTGTAGCAAAGTCATCATGGTCACACTCAGATTCTGATCCTCTTTCCAACTTCTCAGGATAGTAGATAACCTTTCAGCTTAGTGTCTTCCTACACAGAAGCTCAGTATCTTAATTTTTTCACATGGAGGAAACACTTCCACTCCATTTCCTTTCACGGGAGCTATTTAAATTCCCAAGGCCGTGAATGCTGCCTTGGCCTACACAATGGGGCCCATTCTTGGCTGTAGCTGCCGTCTCTCATTGGAGCTGCTGAGTCTGGTAATGGAGGGGAGACATTGGTCACTGCCTGCCCCAGAGTCTCCACTAAATACTAACAGTGTGATAGCTTTAGGGAATGCTTGGCACATTTGCAGACTATCTGATCACAGGGAGTCAGAGAGAGACAGATTTAAGCTCAATTGATGAGCAAGGAGCCATGTTAGCTCTCTGGCAAATGACCACTGGGTCCCTGTTGCACCCAGAGGGAGTGGCTTCCCATCACCTGTCTCAGACGGTGCACCCTCCTGTCACAGGCTGGGGGACAGTAACCTGGTGGATAAAAAATCTGATCTTCGGGGGGCTGGTGCTGTGGCTCAGCGGGTTAATGCCGTGGCCTGAAGCACCGGCATCCCATATGGGTGCCATTTCTAGTCCTGGCTGCTCCACTTCTGATCCAGCTCTCTGCTATGGCCTGGGAAAGCAGTAGAAGATGGCCCAAGTCCTTGAGCCCCTGCACCCATGTGGGAGACCCGGAAGAAGCTCCTGGCTCCTGTTTTTTGGATTGGTGCAGCTCTGGACTTTGGGCCATCTGGGGAGTGAACCAGTGGATGGAAGACCTCTCTCTCTTTCTGCCTCTCTTCTCTCTGTGTAACTCTGACTTTCGAATAATAAATAAATCTTAAAAAAAAAATCTGACCATCGGCTATGATGATCTGGATTCAAATTCCCAGTATAACTGTTGCTGTGTGAGCTTGGGGCAGGCACTTAGCTCCCTGCGCCTCCATTCTTGCACCTGTCCGTGTGGGGAAAAAAAGCACTACCTTAAGATGCAAGTGAAACACGGAGCACCTGCCCGATAAATAGTAGCTAATTCCTGTGACTGCTGCCATGTGTTTTTCCAACTAGGGGACAGCATCTCACCGGTGAAACTCTGGCTGAGTTTCTGAAACTTTGTTTTTCTGCTTTCTTTGAAGACCAAGACAAACCTGACATGACGTTCATACCTGCCTACATCAGCGTGCCTGGGATGCACGTGCCATGGTCATCTTTAAGGATTGCCGGGTACTGCATGGTGCACCCCCAGTGCCTGGAACTGCACGTGCTTTCTTCTCATGCTGCTGTCCCAGACCAGTGGACTGTGCTGCAGATACCCCAGGCTATCCTTAGTCTACAGATGAGGGGAGACTATCAGGCATCTGATGAGATAGGAGCCCGGTTTCGAAAATGGATCTTTTTCAGTACGAAACCTGCTTTTCCCACCGTCCACCATTACGGCCGAGGAAGGGAAGCATTAAACAGGGTGAGGCAAATCCCACAGGGCTGCAGCTGCCTCTGGGCCAGGTCACTCACACACAGCTTGCATGCCAGCTGCAGCGGCCTTCACCATGGATTGCCCGGCTTCCACGTTCACAGGGCCTCATTTGCAATCGCCGCTCACTTGACATCCAGCATCCTGCTGTGGTCTCAGCCTCTCTTCACCATGCCCTTCATGGTGGCCATCATGTGGGGGTGCTGGGGGACATAATCGCTGGAGCCTCGGGGGTGCACAATCTAGACCTGCACGGACGAGCATGGAGGTCACCAGGCTGGTGACACCATTTAGAGAGTGGAGAGTTAGGGCTCCAGGAGGAGTGGAGAGGGTCCTCTTATTGGGTCATTCTTCCCACACTGGTGGTATCTTCTGAGACCCAGCAGTCATAGACAGCCTTTCTGGAATGTTCCAAGTGACTAACTCTCTAAGTCTGGGGAAAGAAAAGAGGTTTGGTTTGGTTCTCAGTTGTGTAGATTGAGAAGTTCAAGTTCGGTGGCAAGCCGGCACTCAAAAAGAATGAGCACCAGGACTGGTTTTGGTTCTACCAACCCACTGTGGTGGTAACTAATGCAGACCCAGAGTGAGGGGTCACTCCTGCAACAAAGCCACTCCTCCATTCCTGGGGCTCCACCCCATGACCCAAACACCTCCCACAAGGCCCCTCCCAACACCACTGCATGGAAGACTTCAGGTCCCAACACATGAACTTTGGGAGGCGGGGGCAGGGAGGGGGAGACAGTCAAACCACATCAGCAGGCAAGCAGTGTGTTCTCTCTTGGAGCTATGGCCTGCTGAGTACCAGCCCACTTGTCTCAGTCCGTTTTGCGTCACCTTAACTAAAATAGCTGATAAGGGTTTTTTGAGAGAGTAAGTAAGGGCTTCTTTCTTCTTATGATCTTTGGTCACGGGATCGGGTGGCCCCTTAGTCCAGGGTCTGCTGGAGGTGGGTCATGGCAGGTGCATCAAAAATGATCACATTGTGAGCCAGGAAGCCAGACAGAAACCAGGCCAAACTTGAACTGAAATTTCCAAACTTCTGGCAAGACCCACACTCTGAGGACATGTCCCCAGTGACCTGAACAGTGCCCTGCCCCCCACTCCCTGCTGCCCTGCCCCACCTCTCCAATGACATCAGTAGATCAAGTCTCTACTTCCTCCATCAACCATTCCCGGGCAGACATCAGAGTGCACACAGCTACATGGGTTTGGGGGAGACAGGTCCCACCTCATCAGCGTGCAGGGACTTCTCTCCTTCTCCGCCTTGCCTACACCTTCCCTTTGCGATTGCAGCAGCCAAGCCCACCGGCCCCGAAATGTTAACACGCGGCTTGTCCCCAGGCACGGTTTCCAGTGAGCCCCAGTCAACTGCTGCCAATTGAGATGTTCTTAACCATGCCATGTCTTCCACCTGGTGCAAGCCCCCTCTGCAAGGCTGCTGGCTCCCTGACTTCCCTGAGTTTTGGGGTACAGTGAAATGCACACTGGGAGAATAAGAACAGGGTGGACGGCGGTGTGCAGGGTAGGGGGTCTAGCCTGCTTTCCTCTGCCCTCTGCAAGCTGCCTGACCTTGGGCGGGTGAGTTCTGTCTGCTGCGGCTTCCGCCACCGTAGGGTAGGGGTGCTGGGGGAGGGAGCTCTCGGTAGGAAGGGGAGAAAGAGCTCAGCTACAGATCCTAATCTCATCACCCCCTCCTTGTGTGCCTTTGAGCTCGCCACTTCTGAGCCCACATGCCCTCATTTGTAGAAAACCAGATAAGGGGGGCTGGCGCTGTGGCGCAGTGGGTTAACGCCCTGGCCTGAAGCGCCGGCATCCCATATGGGCGCCGGTTTGAGACCAGGCTGCTCCACTTCCTGTCCAGCTCTCTGCTATGGCCTGGGAAAGCAGTAGAAGATGGCCCAACTCCTTGGGCCCCTGCACCCACGTGGGAGACAGGAGGAAGCTCCTGGCTCCTGGCTTCGGATTGGCACAGCTCCGGCCATTGTGGCCATCTGGGGAGTGACCCATCGGATGGAAGACCTCCCTCTCTCTCTCTCTCTCTGCCTCTCCTCTGTCTGTGTAACTAACTTTCAAATAAATAAATAAATATTAAAAAAAAAAAGAAAGAAAACCAGATAAGGGACCCACCGCTAAGGTTACTTAGAGTTAGAAGTAACAAGGAAAGAACCAAAGTGCAGGCAAACAATAGACGTTCACCCAATGGGGCCACAAGAGTTTTCGCTCTTCACAGAGGATCCCTTCCCTGTCCCCCCACTGATTTTAGAAATATCTGCTTGCAAAAGAAAACCACTTGCCAGGGTCAGTAGTCCCTCATGTGTTCATTTTTAAACAATGATGCCCATTGGACCTTCTCCTAGGCACAAGGTGGCCATTGTGACATCACAGAGAACACAGGCTATTTCTAGGCCATGCAAGGTTGTCCTCTGCTCACAAGATATCACTGGGTGTCCCTTATGGGCTGAGCACTGTGCAGGACCACGAGGAGACCAGGAGGAACCAAAGCAGCTATGGTCTTTGCTCTTGAGGTCCTCACCGGCTACAGCAGAGTTAGATGTTCATCAAGTAACCCATAAACCGCACTGTCACAAGTGCCGTGCAGGAGCGCGTGTGAATGAAGAGGGACTAGACACCGGAGAAAGTGTCTGAGAGGCCTCAGAGCTGGTGCTGGGCTCTGAAGCAGGAGCAAGAGTTAACTGGACAAAGCGGGGAAGGAAAAGCTCTCCGGGCAGAGAAAACATCACTGGTAAAAGCATGGGCAAAGGTCCTGTGGTTGAAGAGAGCCTGATGCATACACATACTTGATAAAAAGCCAGTGTGGCTGCACCACAGGGAGCCAGGAGCCCTTGGCAAGAGATGAGGCCCCACACACTCTTGAGCTATGCTGAGGATGGTTAAGTTCTTCCTGTGAGACGTGAAATCATGAGGGTGATGTTTGAGAAAACGCAGAGGCACAAAGATTTGCACGGCTGCTGGGCAGGGAGATCTGCGGGGCTGGGGAGGTGCTGTAGACCCAGCAGGCAGCGGAGAGGGGTGCTCACGGAGCAGCTGCTGGGCTCTGTCGCACACAGCTCAGCAGAGGAATTGACTTCTTGCAGAGCTGGGGATGTTGGGGAAGGGGATCCTCTTGGCTGGGCAGCGGACGGCGGGAGGAGACCAGACCTGCGGGTCTGGACGTGCTGAGCTGGAGACACCTTCTGAGTGCCAGAAGGAGGCGTGCTTGGGACGAAGGCCCACTCCGGTCTGCACTCTGGGGAAGGGGTCTCTGCTGCTGATACAGCCTGCGCGTGAGTCAGCGCTGTGAAGGTGGGAGACGAAACCAGGGGGCGGGTGCATGGGACCACGACTTGACATTTTGGGGAGCGTTCAGTAATTAGAGGAGCTTTATTAAGATTCTTGAAATGTTTAAAAATAGCTCTGCGCCCCCAGCTCTCCTACCCCCATTGCTCCAAGAACTTGAAAGATTTTGAGGGCAGGGGCCAGGTCAGAAACCAGGAGCCTATTTGAGCTTCCAGCTGACTCCGGCTGTGGTATCTCATATTCCTGTGCAGAAGCCCAGGGACTGACAACAGGGTGGAAACAGACAGGTGCCATTGCCATAGCATAGTGTAGGGCAGGATCCCAGCTCGCCCGGCTTCTCCCAGGAAGACAGCCTGAGACAGCTGCCGACCTGGAGGGGTTCCTGTTGTCTCCCGCTCTGAGGATCTCCTGGGCTTTCGATGCTATCTATGGTTGGGCTGTGCATCACCAGGGTCTCCACGATGGTTCGTCACGAACCTCAGGATCTCGTCCAAGGTCTAGGTCATCTTAGCAAACATCAGTTACCCCTGAACTTCAGCTACTGTGAAGACTTCCAGCTGATAGAACCCCAAAGAGGACAGCTTTTCCCAGGGGTGCACTAGCCTCCCTAGAGGCTGTGGATGTCCCCAGTGCCTTTCCCTCTCAGCAGAACTAAGGGCCTGTGTTGGGTACTGCTCAGCAACGTTCATTCTGTAATGACAAAGCAGTGGAGGATGCTGGGGGCAGCGTAGGGGTCTGGAGAGATGGGGGATGAGTGGCATTTGGGGAGTTTGTGAGAGCTAAGTTGCTCCATCTGCCGCATCCGTAACCCATCAGCTCAGGGGGCTGAGCAAATGGGTAATTGGAGCCTGCGGTACCGATTAGGAGCTACCCACACGTGTGTAACTGCTCATTTCGTCTCCACAAATGACTGCTTACTCGCCCAAGTGGAAGATCTGAGCGGGCGCCTTGGGAAATCCTGCTAGCAAGGCTTTTCCTTAGGAAGGACTACAGGCAAACGCTCAGAAACGCTGAGAAGGCCCGGACACCGAGGTCTAATGGGAACCAAATGTCCCTTCAGGATTTGGGTGAAACTGGTGAGGAATCGTTTGTTTTTCCGTCTTCATAAAGATGGAAAGGAGTCTTCGTACACTCATTGCCTTGTGTGATTTATTTTGCCCTAAAATCCCCTAGAGACCAAAACAAGCTCTGTCATTGGTTTTCACCAGGGGTCCACTTTTATTAGCATTTTAGGGTTTTTCTAAAGTGTCCTGGAGTGTGTGTGTGGGGGGTGTGGGGGTATGTCCAGGGGCAGGTGTGGCACCAGGTGGTCCCAGCTTCCTGCCATCCCCTAGCTCCCTTCCTTGCCTTTGGCCTCTTCTTCCACCCTCCCCCTCCTCCCGGGCAATGAGTGATAGTCTCCCCTCCGTTCTGCTCAGGCTGAAGGGCTTTGCTTTTTCTGCAATGCCTTCAAACACTTCTCAAACTATTTCTGCTAAGACAATCATCACTTTTTAAGGGAATTTAAGTGGGTTCAATTTTCTCCAACTTGTTACGTAAAATTGACCCTAATTCAAAATCCAGTATAAGCTTCAATGTATAAGTTGCTTTTTGATTGATTGATTGATTTGAAAGAGTTACAGAGAGGAAGACAAACACACACACACACACACACACACACACACACACACAAAGAGAGAAAGAGAAATCTTCCATCTACTGGTTCACTGCCCAAATGGCCACAGTGGCCAAGACTGGGTCAAGCTGAAGCCAGGAGCCTGGAACTCCAACCGGGTCTTCCATGTGAGTTGGGCCCTCCTTCACTGCTTTCCCAGGTGGGTTAGCAGGGATCTGGATGAACCAGCGCTCACATGGGATGCAGACACTGCAGGCATTGGCTTAACCTGCTGTGCCACAACTCTGGCCCCCTTCTCTATACAATGCTGACCGTTCCCCTCTGTCTGCGGTCGGCAGAAGTGGGGTTGGGGATTGCCAAAGCAGGACCAGGAGGTGACTTAAAATACCTTCAGCTGCAACTCGGATTTTCTTTATTGGCTCCCGTCTGGACACTCAATGCTGCAACACTCCCCTCCGTGACTGGACCCACCATGACTGATCTCAACTGGTCCAAACCCAAGCTCCACAGCTTGTAGGGTGGGCGTGGCCTCCCTCAAAGCCCAAGACGTCATGGAAGAAGAAGGATCTCTAAAACACAGGAGGGTTCTTTTCATGGAGAAGGCGGATAATGAGTAACTGTGTGTGGGCTTCAAAACCTTTCGAAGTGCACCAAAATAGCTTACCTTTTAATTCTGCTTTTCCATGAACTTTCTGAAACATCTTCATTTATGGATTCTGTTGAGAAGGAGATAAGGGAAGAAACAAATCTTGGGTAGACAACAAATTTTATCTGCCCCAGGCGAGGGGAACTTAACGGAAAACAGAAGGAAGTTACTATCCGGCTGTGGGACCACTGTGCCTGTGGCCTGGAGGCTGCACAGATGCACCTGGAACTGGAGGGTTGAGCTTCTTTCTTTCTAGACCATGAACGCTGGGGTTGGAACAAAGCTTTGTTCCCATTCTATCTGCCAGACAAGCCCAGGCATTCTTTATTTTGTTCTCTCTCTCCTTCTTTTTAAGCCTTTATTTATTTATTTGAAAGGCAGAGTAACAGGGAGAGAAAAAAAGAGAGAAACAGAGAGAGAGATACAGAGAGAGACAGAGAGGAAGAGAGAGAGAGAGAGAGAGAGATCTTCATCTGTTGGTTCATTCCCCAAATAGTTTCAAGAGCTAAGGCTGGGCCAAAGCTGAAACCAGGAGCCAGGAGCTCCATCTGGGTCTCCCAAGTGGGTGCCCAGGCACTAAGGCCATCATCTGCTGTTTTCCAAGGTGCACTAACAGGGAGCTGGATCATAACTAGAGCAGCCATAGGGCCAGCGCTGTGGCGTAGCAGGTAAGGCTGCCGCCTGCAATGCTGGCATCTCATATGGGCAGGGGGCGTGACAGCCCTCCCAGCAGGCATCTGCCTCTCACTCCTGGACATTCCTGTCCTTTCACAGCGACATACATCCCGGTGGGATATGGGTTACCTTAAAGCATCAGTGAGAAGTACAGAGCACAGCTGTGTCCTAGGGTCTGTGCAAAAGCTAGGAGGGCAAAGGAAAGTTCTTCAAGGTCCTCACCACCCCGAGGGTGCACCCCAAGCCTGTCCTGTCTGCATGCTATGGTGTTCTGCCGCACATCTTTAATTACTGAAACAGATGGGAACCCACTTCTCAGGGGGAATTTATCCCAGCGTGCCCTGCACCTTTAAATTTCTTGGACTGATATAAAATAAAGAGAAAACACATTTCGCTAAGTAGCTCTGGAGACTGATCCCATAGTACAACACAAGGCTAATCTGTCACAATAAAACAGTGAGTGTGTTTATAATGATAAAGAATTCTCCACACTGTGCTTTCTGTTCTCAATTCACCGCAAGCTTGCTCATAGGCTGGCACCAAAAACATATTTGGGAAGCTCCTCCCACCTGTTCAAAGTACTGAAAGCTGAATGGCTTAGAAAACATCAATGTAGGGGCTGGCACCGTGGCTCACTAGGTTAATCATCTGCCTGCGGCACCAGCATCCCATATGGGCGCCGGGTTCTAGTCCTGGTTGCTCCTCTTCCAGTCCAGCTCTCTGCTGTGACCCGGGAGGGCAGTGGAGGATGGCCCAGGTGCTTGGGCCCTGCACCCGCATGGGAGACCAGGAGGAAGCACCTGGCTCCTGGCTGTGGATCAGTGCGGTGCCGGCAGTGGTGTCCATTTGGGGAGTGAACCAACAGAAGGAAGACCTTTTTCTCTGTCTTTCTCTCTGTCTAACTCTGCCTGTCAAAATTAAAAAAAAAATAGAAAGAAAACATCGATGGAGAGATTCCTCACAGTTCTGGGGGCTGGACATCCGCAGTCAAGATGTCCGTGGGGAGGTTGCTTCTGAGCACTGGGAGGAAGATGTGGCTCGGGTCTGTCCCTTGTCTCTGGTGGCTTCAGGCAGTGTTTGGCCTGTGGAAGGCATGCCGTCTGTCCTCACGGTGCCACCCCCTGCTGTACATCTGTCCCCGTGTCCCAACTGTCCTTGTTATAAGGACACAGCTGTATTCAGACTGACTTAATGACCTCATCTTAATGTGATCATCCACAAAACTCTATTTCTGAGCAAAATCACAGGTATAGGTACTGGGGTCCAGACTTCAATATCTTTTGGGAGGAGACAGTTCAACCCAGAAGAGGACCCATTGCTGTATCTGGTCCTGCTTCCCTTGAAAGTGCCTGGTCGCCCACCCATGAAGGAGAAGCTCACAGGGACGCTGGGTGCATGGAGGGGCCGGCTCCAGAAGAGCAAGGTCTGGGAGAAGGGGCTTTGCGGGAATGATTTAGAGACGTGCGGTCTCTACTCCACGTGGCCGCTGAAAACATATTTGAGTCTGTGATTGCACCACATGTTGATGACTCCTGTTAGTTCTAAAGGAAGGTCACCCTCCTCCCACCCTCGCCTCCTCCTAGCCTCAAAGATGAGCCTAGGTCAAAGGCAGTGTGGGTCAAGGCTGAGGACATTAGGTGGGTGCTACCAGTGTTCATCCTCTGTTGAACCTCAGCCTCTTGTTTGCCCCAGAGCCTAGAGGTTCAAGTGCAGCCCGCAGTGTGCTCCCTCCTGGAAGAAGGCTTACTCCTTCAATTCTCACACAGCTAACCAAGTACTTCCCTCCCTGGTGGCTGGATTCTCATAGCAATCCTTTAAGGCCTCTACATGATTTATGCCCATTTTATGCAAGAGAACACTGACGCAGAGGATGTCAAGTACCCTGGGCAAAACGATGCAGCAACCAGCCAGTGTCTGAGTCGTGACTAAAACTCAGAACCCAGCCTGACCTCTTGTCCGGAGCTCCTTTCAGCACCCATGCTAATTTTCTCCTATAAATAATCTGGCCGTGGTGCAGGTGGCCCCATGAACAGCAGCCTGCTAACAAAAAAGACGCCGGATGTGGGAAAGGTTCTCTCCGAAATCCTGTTTGCTTCTGGTTTCCCCAGCTGCGTTAACTCCCTCCTAGACCAAAGACAGAAACAGGGCATTTGCTGAAATGCCTTCGGTGGTTAATCTTGCGTTGATCTCATTTTCTGCCTCCGAAGAGCGGGAGGGTTTCTGGTTCTGTGCAGTGTAAGCTGTGTGACTCACTCACTTTCCCACGCCCCTCCCCTCCTTTGCTATCATGAAGGTCATGGCTCAACGACCAAGTGCATGGAAGCACCTGACCTGCCCACCCGCATCCTGACGTCCTTGTCATTCTTGACCTGCTGGGAGGGGCGGGGATGTATATTTTCTTTGGCTCTGATTTTTTATTTATAGCCTGTACTTTATTGAAAGCACTCTTGTAAGCTGCCTCTATTCCTTTGTGGTTTGAAATAGGGTAGAAGGAAATAAAATATTATCTTTTTTTTTTTTTCAGAAAAACGATGCTTTGGAAAATGAAAGTCCATTTTCTGTGTGTTTGCTTTGTTTTGCGATAGAAACGGAAGATAAAGGAAGGATTATCCAATTCTACCAGCTTTGTGCTCGGAGAACACAGGCCTGCGATGCTTCGTATTGAATATGTGTGCTGCAGTGTCAGTCTCTACCATTGGAGTAACCACGCTGACATGGTTATTTTCACCTCTATATTCGCTTTTATAGATAATTATCAGGAGGAAGAAAGAACAGGATGCGGATTCTCTCACTCAGACTCAGTTGTATTGATAGTTCACAACGAATACCATTCATCCTTCATGCGTGCAGCCCCAGGCACTTTGACATTGACTTAGGGCCACGTAACCAGCACCACAGTGCAGAGACAGAACATTGCCATTATGCACAATGTTCCCCCTCTTCCACTGCACTGCTAACGCCGCCCCTCACCCTGCCCCGCGCCCAGCTCACTCATCTGATTTCCGTTCCTGTCATTTTGCTTTTTCTCCAGAGGGCGATTTTGATAGAACCATGCACCATGTGGCCTTTTGTGTCTGGCTCCTTCCAGTTTATGTAACACCTTTGAGGCTCACCCACATTCTGGCACAGATCAGTAAGGCGTTCCTTTTTCTTACTTAGTGTATGTATTTATTTGAAATGTAGATTGAGAGAGAGACAGAGACAGAGAGACAGAGAGAGACAGAGAGAGAGAGAGAGAGAGAGAGAGAGAGAGAGAGATCTTATGGGTTATCTGTAAAAATCTTTACTTGGGGCCGGCACTGTGGCGCAGTGGGTTAAAGCCCTGGCCTGAAGCGCCAGCATCCCATATGGGCACCTGTTCTGGTCCTGGCTACTCTGCTTCTGGTCCAGCTCTCTGCTGTGGCCTGGGAGGGCAGTGGAGGATGGCCCAAGCCCTTGGTCTTCTGCATGCACGTGGGAGACCCAGAAGAAGCTCCTGGCTCCTGGCTTCGGATCGGTGCAGCTCTGGCCGTTGTGGCCAACTGGGGAGTGAACCAGTGGATGGAAGACCTCTCTCTCTCTCTCTCTCCCTCTCTCTCTCTCTGTAACTCTATCTTTCAAATAAATAGAATAAATCTTTTTAAAAAGTCTTTGCTTAGCTCAAGGCTACAAAAATTTTATCCCTTTTTTTCTAGACATTTTATAGTTTTAAGCTTTAGCTTTGAATCTATGATCCAGTTTGTGATGATATTTGCATACACCGTGAGCCTAGTGTTGATTTTTCTCTTTTTTTGGTAGATGAGTGTCAGATCAAGCTCCTCTTTCCCCCTCGACTTACCTGGCACCTTTGTGAATTCTTTCATTCCTGACTTGGACTGAGATGCTGCCAGCTCCCTGCCTCCCACCTGGCCTTCCAAGGCTCAGGGTGGCACTGAGCCAAGACAGGGATTTTTGTTGCAATAGGGAAACCATCTGTAAAGGGGAAAACGTTGGCTGTAAGTGACTAATAAAACAGCCTCCTAAAGCCTGATGAACTGGCCTCAACATCTAAGTGCTTCCCCCCGGTTTTAAAAGAGAAAGCTGAAAGACATCGCATCCCACCTGCTCGAATGAAATTCGGCTCCCTCTGATTGGAAGGCCATAAAATCCACTTTTATCTGCTGCCCTAGCCTTTGCTGAAAGAAATCCAATTTAGCAAGTAGAATATAAAGTCATTCCAGCTGAGAAATACATGCTGGTGGGGAGCCGGGCAAGGCCTGGTGCTTTGGCACCTGCAGATTGAAATGAAGGTGGCAGTGACTGAGTCCCTGGCAGGCCATCCACCCAGGACCACCTGGAGCCACCACTGGCTGTGGCCATGGTGTCATCTGGCAGAGAGACCTGGGAGCTTTTGTCTAACATGTATGCCAACAGAAACACACAGACAATGATTTGAGCTCTAAGCAGAAACAAATATATTTGGGTTGGCCAAGCCAAGGAGCGAGGCGGACTCATGACCAAAAACCCTGGCTGCCTGAGCAGCTAAGAGTTCTAGGCTTTTCCAGGGCTTGCTTCCAGAAAAGCTGTACACCATCACTCAGTTTGGGGGAAGTTCTAAGAAAGGATCTGCATATTTGGAAGGAGGCAGGCGTGCAGGCATGCGTGCCCGCTAAGTTATCACATCATGCATGTTCCATGTTCAGTTGGGAGTGGCGATCTAGCATTGTAAGGAAGAGGTTTGGGGGCTGGCATTGTGGCATAGTGGTATAAGTTGCCGGCTGCAACACTGGCATCCCGTATGGGTACCAATTTGATTCCTGGCTGCTCCATTTCCAATCCAGCTTCCTGCTAATGCGCCTAGGAAAGCAATAGAGGATGGTCCAAGTGCTTGGGCCCCTGAACCCATATGGGAGACCTGGAAGAAGCTCCTGGCTTTGGTGTGGCTCAGACCTGGCTGTTGTGGCCATTTGGGGAGTAAACCAGTGGATGGAAGATATCTCCACCACCGCCCCCGCCCCTGTAACTCTGCTTTTCAAATAAATAAAATAAATCTAAATAAAGAAAAAAGGAAGAGGTTTGGCTTTGTACATTAGAAGGGTGAAGGTGAGAATGAGACTACTCCTAATGCACAAAATCCTTACCCAGCCTTGATGGGGTTGGGCCTGTGGTTCTCTGTCAAGAGAAATTCATTGCAGATATGTGTCTTCATCCAATCAGCTGTGGCTTGCATCCTCCTGGAGGGGCAGCTGCCTGATTTTAGCTAGGATTAATGCAGGGTTGGTCATTTCCTGTAGGAGTGGATATTAAAGGGGCCTACGCCACCCAGGGGGAAACCAGGGGCCTAGAGAGTCACCAGGACCTGTCGCATGGGAGTTCTCTGGGTGAACCTTGGTGAGCTTAAGGTCAGGCTCCTCACCTCACCCAGGGACAGAGGAACGGTCATCCCTGGTATCCACGGGTTCCTTGTCCATGGATTCAGCCAACTGGGGATCATAAATAATTCAGAAAAACAAAATGTGAACTACTAAATATGGACAGACTTCTCTTTTTTTTGGTCATTATTCCCCAAACAATGCAGTATAACCACAATTTACATATCATTGGCATTGTAGGAGGCATTATGAGTGGGCTAGAGATGATTTAAAGCAGGAGAGAGGACACACACGCGTTCTGTGCAAACACCACACCACGTTACAGAAGAAACTCGAACATCTGTGCATTTTGGTATCTGGACTGATTTCCTGTGGATACGGCGGGGTGACTGCACCCGGGTGTCAGGGTGCAGGGAGTGGATGAGACAGATGAGATAACCAGGTGCCAGTTAACTGCTCTGCCTGTAGGGAGTTCTCCGTGGGGATAACCTGTCTCGAAAAGCAATCAGGTGGACTTTGGAGGGAGGGGCAGTGGTGTACTTGCTAGTGGTTCCTTTGCTGAGTGGCCGCATGGATTAGCCATGAGATAATTAAATTACCCCATCCAGTGTTCTCAGCAGTTGAAGCACTTGAGACAGAGAAGTGTCATTTTGCATTATTTTTATGGTAAACTGAAATAATATCCCTTTCACACTGTCCAGCCCCAAGTCCCTGGAACCTGTTACCATACATGCGGTGCAGGGAAACCCTAACTTTTCTTTCCTTTTGATTCTTGCACTCAATACAGAATACTTCTTTGGCCTGTTATGTGGTTCTTTTTTTCTTTCTTTTTTTAAATATTTTATTTATTTATTTGAGAAGTAGAGTTAGAGAGAGAAATAGAGCGAGAGAGAGAGAGAGAGAAAGGTCTTCTATCTGCTGGATCACTCCCCAAATGGCCACAATGGCCAAAGCGGGGTCGATTTCCAGGTCTCCCACATGGGTGCAGGGGCCCAAGCACTTGGGCCATCTTCAGCTGCTTTCCCAGGCCATAGCAGAGAGCTGGATCGGAAGAGGAGCAGCTGGGATATGAACTGGCACCCATATGGGATGCTGGTGCTGCAGGCAGAGGCTTAGCCCACTACGCCACGGTGCTGGCCCCCGTGTGGTTCTTTTCCTCCACACACCAGGCAAATCTCCAGCAGACACCAGCTGGGTGCCCGTAATTCAATCCAGTCCTGATATAACAGCTCTAGATGCCACAGTTGAGGGCTCAGTCCCCTGTGAGCGCCCCCTCGGTCAGGTGCGGGTGGAAAGTATGGGCAGGCACCTGCACCAAGTGGCTGCTAACTGGGGTTCCCATGACACACATGCTGTCGGGTTTGAATGATTTGCTAGGACAGCTCACAGAATGCAGGAAAACACGTGACCTGTGTTTGCTGGTTTCTTGTAAGGGACAGGACAAAGGGCAGAGCAGTACAGCAGCTGATGAGAGGCACAGGGTGAGGAGGAGGAAGTGGGCACACAGCTACCATGCCCTCTCTGGGCACCACCCTTCTGGCCCCTTCACGTGTTCAGCAGCCCGGAAGCTCAGCGAACCTCGTGGGTCAAGAATCTCTATTTAAGAGAGCATGACAGAACTTCCTCTCCAGCCCCTTTGCTCGCAGGTGGTTGGTGGGTGAGGCTGAAAGTGCCAAGCCCCCATCCCTCTGATCCCCTGATCCCTTGGGACTTTCCAGCAACTGGGCCAACCTGAGGCCCCCTGGGAGCTCCACCCTATGTCACCATTAGCATAAACTCAGGTGTGGTCAAAAGAGGCTCCCTAGGAACAGCAAAAGACACCACCTATCACTCAGGAGATCCCAAGGGTGTTAGATGCTCTGTGACGGGAATAGACAAAGACCAAATACAGACTTACGATTGCCAAAGCTAGTCTACCTCTGATTCCTGCTAATGCATTCTGGGATGCAGCAAGGAGGGCTCCAGTGGTTGGGCCCCTGCATGAACGTGGAAGACGTGGCTCCTGGCTGCAGTCTAGCCCAGCCTGGACTATTGAGGGTATTTGGGGAGTGAACCTGTAGATGGAAGATCTCATTCTCTTTTTCTCTACCTTTCCAGAAGACGAAAATAAATAAATCTTTTAAAAATGCTGCTTGACTATATGGTGGTGTAACAATATGTATTCAGTAGAAATCATTTAAAATTTGGCTGCTGATCTTTCTCCAGGCTAGCACTACTCAGTCTAACACTCTTGTGTGATGCTGGCAGCCCCAGCAAGTGCAGCACAGCTCTCTGCCAGTGCTACTGTCACGAGAGGAGAGAGCCCTCACTCTACCGAGAGCTGTCATGGTAAGCTGGGGTATTCCATAGGTTGGCTATTTATTAAATACATTGTGGATTTAAGATAGTTTCAACTTATGGTGGGCTTATTAGGACATAATCCCAACTCAAGACAACAAGGAATCTGTACATTTCATATCAGCTTTGCAGCTGTGATGACATTAAGGACCTGGGGATGTGGAGATCGTGTTCAATTTTCCAAGGGGCCCCAAGGTGACCACCAGTGTCATTTATGAAGAAGCTAGTGGGTTGAGAACCAGAAAGGGTGATGCGATGATGGAAGCTGAGAGAAAGGCTGGAAGATGCTACACTCTGGTTGCAGAAAGGAACAGGGGGCCGTGAACCAGAGAAAGCAGGCAGCTTCCGGAAGCCAGAAAAGCCCAGACGTGGAGGCCTTCCCAGAGCTCCAGAAAGAGGGAAACTGCTGACAACTTGGGCATAGGACTTCGGACATTCCGCAAGTTCAGTGAACGCCTTGGCATTGCTTTAAGTTACTCAATTCATGGTGATTAGTTACAGCAAACACAGGACACTGTACAAGGGGACTCCAGAAATGGAAAACTTGCAGAATGTCTTCATTTAATTTTCCACGAGTATTTTGGAGTCCCCATCATACAGTCATGTGTCATTTAACGGGGTGGGGGGGGATGTTCTGAGAAGCACAATGCAGGTGATATTGTTGTTATGGGGACATCACAGGGCTGTTCTCCTGAATCCAGATAGGACAGCCTACTACACCTTGTGTGTGTGGGATATGTGCCCAGACATAGCTAGTATGCACCCAAGGCCATGCTGAACAAAATAGCATGAGATTAAATCAAACACAAGAGAAAGCAGTGCAATCCCTGGGTGTGGGAACCACGAGAGGTGTGAGGCTGCTGCCGGTGTCACTGGGCCACTGCTTTACAATAAACTTCTTTTATAAGTACAGTGCAAAGCCCTAAAATACCAATAACAAGTACAGAAAAGCAAACACAGCAGGCGCTGCAGCTCCCTTGGCTAATCCTCCACCTGTGGTGCCGGCACCCCGGGTTCTAGTCCTGGTCAGGGCGCCAGATTCTATCCCGGTTGCTCCTCTTCCAGGCCAGCTCTCTGCTGTGGCCCAGGAAGGCAGTGAGGATGGCCCAAGTGCTTGGGCCTTGCACCCGCATGGGAGACCAGGAGGAAGCACCTGGCTTCTGGCTTCCGATCAGCGCAGCGCACCAGCCACAGCGCACCAGCCGTGGCGGCCATTTGGGGGGTGAACCAATGGAAAAGGAAGACCTCTCTCTCCCTCTCACTGTCTAACTCTGCCTGTCAAAAAAATAAATAAATAAAAAGAAAGAATAGCAAACACAGAAATAGTAACACGATGATTTGTTGTCATTATCGAGTGTTACACGCTGAACATAATTGTAGGTTCTTGACTTTTGTACAAATAGCAGTGCAGTAGGACGATTCACACCTGCATCACCCCC